TGACCAAATTAACTTCATCATTATTTCTGCTGCACACGCATTAAAATGACAGTGATCAGTCCATTTTCTACTAGTATTTAATATGTTTTGTTGCCAAGGGAGTTAAAGGCCCGGAGAACCTAATTTCTCAATCAGCTTCTTAATGAGTGGTGGGGTAGTATACATGAAAACAAAAATAATCTAACATGAGAGATTTCTGTGTTTCTGTTTTTATCTGGGATTTGTCTCACTGGTTTGAAGTAAGCAGGGTTTGGCTGGAAAATAGTGATGTCACATACCTCAGTGCACCAATCAGGATTTAGTCATATTTGGGTGTGAAGACAGTTGTTGGGTTGTTTGCTCATGTTGCTAGGCCACTGTGGGTGAAATCTGAGCAAACCACACCATTGTTGTCCCTGAAGAAAATAATAAAAACATGGGGAAAAAAATGACATCAGAAGAAAAACACAATTGTTGCCAGGATTTAATGTACATGATCTTATTTAGACATGAAGATCATCTGTGAGGATTAACTTTAAGTACTTTTGAATAGTAGAAATATACCGTTGAAACCCAACTCATATGTTGAATGTCTATATGTGCATGTCTTTTAAAAACATTCACCTTTCACCAGAAAGTACAGAATCTTACATAAAACTAAATGTCCTTCAATTAATCTTGCATTGACGCTCTCCTTTTAACAGCTACCACTCAGAAACTCTGTTATTGAGCACCATCTAGTGTTGAAAGCAATTATCTTTCATATATTTTTCCAGAGAATCATAAAGAAGAACATGACCTGATGTAAGGTATATAACTGTGGAGAGCTTTTTAAATACATTCACATTGTTTTTTTAAGAGAAGTTATAAGCTTTAACTGTAATAGGTTCCTGTTTGAATTATACATTAATATATGTACCATTAAAGAACACCTTCCCCATTCATATTTTACAGGCAGGATGATATACTTGCATTAAAAAAATACTGTAGACGAAGAGATGTTGTTTATGTTGATTATTTACAGTAAACAAGTACAGATATGACTCATATATCCACCTGACAGGGTTCTCTGCATCTCTGCTGCTCACTGGGTTTAATAAACAGAAGCCTCATGGCTGGGTGGAAGACAACATAGGCCATCTGTTGTCTGTGTGTTTTCTTTGGTGCCCTGCCACAAAACTCTGCTGCCAGAACACCCAAGGGTAGTGCCCCGGGCCTGGGGACCGGATCGCTGAAGCACCTTCATAGCCTACTTGCGCCGTCAGGGGACAACTGAGTTCTGCCAGAGCCCAGACACAATAGCAGCAGCGTTTGAAAAGGGTCTTGTTGTAGCGGGATCGTTACACAACCATGCCATTAACCTTAATTGGAGAAGCTTGGTGGAACACAGAAAAACTTTCAACGCTCCGAGAGAGCAGTGTTGTTCCCTTGAGTTGCATAAAATCGAAGACTGATCTCAGGCTGAGTTAATTGAATTGTGGAATACTTACATGGCTGCTGAGGAGTAAGTGAGGAAGACATCATTCTCTGGTTCTGCGCTGTGACAGAATACTAAGGCCATTAAACAGACAAAAGACAGGGAAAAAAACTATTCGTTCTCATTCTGTTTGTGCATAAACATAATGATGCTAATGAATGAATTCCCACATGATGGTGATTGGGTGTAGCCTAGGAAACACACACTTAAGGAGAGACATAAGGGGAAATGGGGCATAGCTCCCTTTAAGAAGTTTGTTTGCTGTTATGTCAAGATGAATCTTTATCTATTCAGGAGCTAACATTGAAGTTCTTACATCATCCATAGTGCAAACTAGTTGCCTGTATTATGATATACACATCCATGTACTGCATCCTTAAATCTCGGGAACACAAAACAGGGACTTTTCCTGATTATTCATTTCCATTTTTTCAGCTTTCAGACTGTTCTGTCTATCTATCTCCCACTGAAGGGCAATATTATTATTAATCTCTCCCATTCATCAGAGAATATGGCCCACAGTACTTCCTCCCTAAAGCTGTTATCTCGTACTCATATTAATCTCCCTACAGATTGGATTGCATTGCAAAAGAAGATTAGTGTGACAGCTGGATTTACCAGGGCAGAGGGTCACTGCATATGTTTTGGAACCAGCAGCTACCATTACTTTTACATTTAAAGTAGGACAAAACAAATCTCCCATTTAGTGTCAATGGAGCACTTCCAGAGATGGTTTGTCTTGTTTTGAAGGAGAGCTGAGAATATTAGATAAACACATAAACCTGCCAAACAGGAACAAAATGAGCTTGAGCTTTGCATGGTTTTACCCCCTTCTTACCAAATAGATAAAGCACTGTCCTGGTGCTGCAATAAGCGGCAAACACACATCAATTGCTTTCCTCAAACAAAGCCAGAGTGTGAGCTGTGTCTAGCGTGTTTTCTAAGTCTTGAAAAAAAGTTTGTGAATGTCAACAGCTTTCTCCGTGAGCTCGACAGATTGTGGAAATGCACAGCGCTGAATGTGTAAACATGAGATGAATCATTCCTGTCAACAAGGCGATACAAGCAAGCTGTGTTGGAGAAATGTGGATGTCTGCACTTCTGGACTTGGCTAAGTTTCAACTGCCTTGAAATCTCTAGCTTTAGTGACTTTTACAACCATACAGTTTTCTAAATGTGTATTGTTGGTCAGTCAAAAATAGAAATAGTAATACTGTTAGCTTCAAAGCCACATTGTGCACTCAAAAGTTAGTAAGTCATGTTAGTGATTTATATATGTTACTCTCTAGTAACCCTTGTGTGGTGTTCATATTTGTGTTATTCAGCCAGTGTTCGTGGGTCTGGTGGACCCACTGCCTTTTCAAACTATTTTATATTAAAATACTCAACAGATGTTTACTTCATCCCAATTACAGTACAAGCAATATAAACAGCTTATTTGGTTAATATTTTCCCTTTTACATTTGTTAGATCACATTAATGAATTAAAGTGCTACTTGTTTTTTTGCCCGCTGACCGGCTGGTCCTGTGGCTTTTTTTGTAACTACTGTAGCTGATGCTCAATCTCATCCTCTTCTTCAAAGTCACTGTCAGACCTCACATTGATCACTGATCCTCACATTCTGAAACCTCTTCCTCTGCATCATCATCAAATGGTTCTCTCTCTTCCAAAATCATTTGCAAGGCCCTCTGAGCAGAGAATCTTTTGGCCATCTTGATCAGTTGTGATAAGGACCCAAACATGGCGAAGCTTTATTTAGTGTGTCTCGCCCCAAATGTGCAGCTGGGATAGAATGTGAAAAAAAAGAAAGACTGGTTCCCGCAAGACATAATGTGGGAATGTGAGAGCAGCCAGGTGTCCGTGCTTGAATTGATCAACAATGTTGCAACCTTGTGGCAGGGGCAGAAAGACAAAAGTCTCACACATACACACACACACACACACACACACACACACACACACACACACACACACACACACACACACACACACACACACACACACACACACACACACACACACACACACACACACACACACACACACACACTCTAACACTAACACACACACACACACACACACACACACACACACACACACACACACACACACACACACACACACACACACACACACACACACACTCTAACGGGTCCCACAGACCCGAACACCATACAAGGGTTAATCAAGTCTGCAGTTGAGGATGTTACTAAGTTGTTGTTATTAAAATAATTCTGGTCAAGATTGATTTACATTTTTGAGAATGTCAAAGTGTCAAAATGTAACTAAAAAGAAGAAAAAAAAGTAAAAAGGACTAAGCATGGCGAACAAATATTGTATTTTAATTTGATATGTGTGCATGTTACTAACGCCACTAGAGGTCAGGCTTACATTCAGTTCAGGTTTGGGAAGGCAACTATCTGTCCATCTCAGAGCATATTGCATTATTTATTTTCCAGGACAGCAAGTTTTCTGGTGTGCTCTGATGATAGAAATGTTGACAAAATCAGAATACACAGTGTCAGCGTGATTGATCTACTTTTTCATTTGATTACAAAGAAACAGGGTAATCTTGTTGTTGCTGTAGCTGTCTGGAATGTGATTGCTGCACCTCGTAATGTCTCATCTTTTGTCAGCTCAGAGGAATCGATTGAAAGAGGAGGTAAGTCTTTTATTTCCATAAAAAAATAATTCCCCTGTTGTTGCGCACGACAAACGACTTTAAATTGTCATTGTATGCCAAGATAAATTGCTTTATCCTTTTTTAAACATGAAGATAGGCACATTGGGCTGTAACCTCAGTAAGGATTACCCTGTATGAACATGACAGGTGAAAGCTCCGGGCACACACACACCACACACACACACACAGGCCCAGATGTTGGTCCACATACACGTGTATGAACAAATTGAAGTGATTTTCTTCCTCAAAGACAGGATGAGGTTAGTAGAGACTTTCAGCTAGCCTTACAAAGCTTCAATGTTGTCATAGTGAACAGAACAACAAAAGAGTGTAGTTAAGGGTCTCTCATGAGGGTGCCACCAGGAAAATTATTATGAGAGCTTTTCCTTAGTGCCTCATGTGTGCAATCACTTAGATGAAGTGGGTCTGACAGAGCAAAAGCCCCTTTCTCCTCGCTCATTGAGAAACCATTCAAGTTCTGTTCATGATTGCAATCTGATGATGAACTGGGAAGTGCTTTTGTTAGGGCACACTGGCTGGGAGTGTACTGGAAGAAGAAATATAATTGGTATTTAATATATGAATGTATGAAATGCACTGAAAAATCTCCACATCCCCAGAGCTGGAATCACTTAGATGTAGCTCAAGGACAAATGGACGTCTTTCTTTTTCTAGTCCAATATCAGAGGAAGGAGTCCTTTGATAAACCATCAGATGTATTTTACAGATTATACCACTGAGATGTCAGTTTGATTTAAGATTTCTATTTGTAACATGAGGATTGTAAGATGAAATGTAATCAAAAAAGTGAGGTTTTTATAATGGGCTCAAGTGTATCGGAAAAGAACAACAAAGTCAAATAGCAGTTCACGATTTATTTACTGAATAATTTTGGACAAAACACCAGAATCTGTTACGATACAATCAGAACATCTGAGGCAGATATCCCACCATGCACCACCCCCCTCCGTGAAACAAAACGGACTAACATTAGCACCAACTTAAATAAAAAGGTAGCTCAGTCTAGAAAAACAATGAAAAGCAAAAAGGTTTTCCTTTTTTATTGAAAAGCAAACTCAGAAAAGTAGCAAATTGAGAATTTTCATGTTTTTAACTTTTCTTAAAAAACGAACACCCTCCTCCCCCCACCCCTTCCCCCCCTGCTAGGCAGGCTATAGCATTCATGGGGGCACATGCCAAAGACTAGATAAAAACACAAATTCAAGTAACATTGAGATACGACAAAACATGTCCACTAGTACTCATTCCGAGCATGAGCATTTCACAGAACCTACGCAGGCAGTATAAAACTAACATGGGGTCCTGGTAGTGAACACGTCATAGCATTACTATCACCGAATATCTCGTGTCAAGTTTTAATAAAGAAATTAGAGAGATCGGGTGGCATGGGCTTGTCGGGGGCAGCGGAATACTGGCACAGAAGAAATCGTGTATTCCAAAAACTTCGGACAGACATTTCCCTCTCCTGTCCTGTGTCGAGATATTGCCTACATCATACATGAAAAAGGAATCTCTGAATAAAGAAAAACCCTGCAATGTACTTTTAAATATATATATTTATATTTATTTATATATAATATATATATATATATATATAGCTGTTACAATTTAAATAAATGTTACGTTCTCGTTCCTACAACTGAAGAATGGATTTAAATAAGAGGAAGCTAATTTTGAAGAGTCGTCCATTCAAATGCACGATGCCGTGTTTGGAGGCTCACCGAGACAAAACAGTTTTAAGATTGAAGTTAAGGGAGTGACAGAGTGGAATAGCTTTAACACAAATAAATGTAAAGGAAAATAAAAGAAATGTGGTGGTGAATGAAGCGTGGTAAAGGCATAAGAGACTGAGGAAGCAGAAAACATACAAATGACTGAAAACAAGGCCTTCAAGGAGTTTAGTGATGTTAGAATAATCGATAATAAAAATGCGAGAAAAATGAGATGACAAAACAAAAACTTAAGCATGAAACAAAGACGACGTCAAACGTGTTGTTGATAAGAAAAAGCTTAAGATGCTCAATTTTTCCATCCATCGGTCCCGGGTCATAATTTGTTTAACAACACGTTGGATTTATGATTACTGACCCTGGGCCTTTGGTTTAAATTGGTACCACCTGAAGCTATGACGAAAAACCAAGCAGAATTTGTATGAAAAAGTGTGGTGTTGCACTCTGTCAGTTCATTTTGAATTGTTCTCCTTGGTCTCCTGTGTCCCTTCATGCTTTCCATAGTGTCAAAAATGGTGAATGTGTCTACTTTTATGAGCACCACATTAAACCAAACAGATCCAAAAAAAAAAGAAGAACTTTTGCTACATTGTTTGCCCCGAGCGGGAGGTGCATCGCCAGGTGACGTATAGATGCCATTTGTCATGCCAGGCTCAAGGTTTTCCATGAAATGGTGGAAAAAGGGAAACAGGATGGAAACACCTTTATTACGAGTGACAAATGTTCATCTATTAATCTCTAAACTACGTTTTTTTTTTGCTCTGCTGTGAGCGTGGCGAGCCGGCCGTGGCGGAGTCGTCCCATTTGTGCTTGGTGTTTGTCGCTCAGCTGAAGAACTGCTCCAGCTCCTGTTCCATGTTCACCTCAGGCACCATCTGCTCCTGCTCGCGCTCCCCTCTGCCGGGCACTGCGGGGCCCCCTAGTGCTCCGGAGGAGGTGAACCAAGGGTGCTCCAAGATCTCCCGAGAGGTGAGGCGCTCTGCGGGTTCCCGGCGGAGGATGGAGCGGATCAGACACTTGGCCTTGGGTGTGAGCGTTTCAGGGATGTTGAAGTGGCCCCTGCGGATTTTGCTGAACAGAGAGCCGGGCTCAACGTCGTGGAAAGGGTAGCGCCCCACAAGGATGGTGTAAAGCATTACGCCCAGGCTCCAGACGTCAGCTGCCTTTCCCGAATAGCTGCCGTTGGCGTTGAGGATCTCGGGACTGACATAGGCAGGGCAGCCATGTTTGTCTGACAGGGAGTCATCATGACCGTCCAGGATATAAGTGTCCTCAAGGCTCTCCAGCTTCACGAGGCTTCTGGAAACACAAAGAAAACGCAGAAAAACATAAGGATATCGCCTAAACCAAGAATGGACACACAAGGATCTGTTAATCTGAATTTTATTAAGAGGTAATTATCACCAAAGGTTCAATCTTTTGGATGCCAACTAACAGAGAATTAAATACAGAAGACACTCAAGTGGGGGTAATTCGCTCAGATGGGCATCTTAGGAGTTTAATATCCATTGCTCTTGGATATCAGAGAAACTAGAGCACATAATGCTCAAGGCTTAAGTTTGACATTTCCTTTCACTCAGATAAAAGCCCATGCAAAAAGCATTGATGTACAAATGGGCTTTCTAAAAGACCTCCACAATTCAAAAGAAAAACCAATTACGGGTGACCAATCGTCTTAAGATGCATGCATAGAACAGTTTGGCTCAGTGTCAAGGATCTGATAATGTGGTTTTTTGTTCTCCTGCTCTTCCCACTCAAAAATAGCATCTATTTGTGCTCTTCTCCAAACCCCCCAATAGCAGCTATGATACCCTTGAGTGCTGATAATAATGGCTGGTTGTTTAGAAAAGTTCACTGTAGAATCTGAAGAGGCTCAGGCAAGAAAAAGTTCCACATTCATGGTAAGAGACACTTGTGGGGCTGAGCAAACGCTGCCATCTGTGTGTGAGGTCCCTGAGACATGACAGACAAAGAGGCAGCGTTTGTGATAGTATCAACTGGGAGCTACTAGAATAATGGAAACCAACAAGCACTGGCTCTGACATATTCCAGAAAGTGTTGCCATCTGCGACATGTGCATGCATACACCGTCCCATTAGCCCACACACTGGATCATTGGCAGTCAAAGTCATTTGCTTTCATTAATATGCAGTTTCACATTTTCTAATCAGGAACATTCTTTTGTTTCCTTGTGCCAATGGCCCATTGTTCCTCTGCAATATAAAGAGCAATGCTCCTTTTTTAAAATACAGCATATAAACACTTATTTCGAGGATAAGCGCAAACCTTTAATTTACAGTGTAGAGGGCTTAGAAATACAAAGAAAGACTTTTAAGAGAAGCTTATTGTCTTTATTTAAGCAAGCTCAATGCATGCTGATAGTAACATGTCTCATAAGCTTGCTGTAGGAGATGCTTATCAACAGTGACTGTTAAAGTAGCTGTGTTGGATTCCAATCTTTGACCGCCTTTAAACAGGCTGCTGTTTGGTCAAAGGCCAACAGCGGTATAACAAAATCGAGTCAGGGAACTAGGACACACTGAAGGAGCTACTCAGGTATCATTATAAGTCTGGTCTTGTTCCTTTCCTTCACCTTGCATTCACTATCTCCTTTTGGCACACACTTGGGCTCAAGCCAGTGATCTTTGGTCTCCACCTTAAAAAAAAGGTTCACTGAGCCAGGAGGTCTGAAAAGGTATACGGTGTAAGAGGATTCTTGACAGGCCATATAGTAAATGTGACTCAATACTGCCCTGCACTATCACTCTTAATATTCACCCGGCATCAATCATCTGATGGGAGGGGAGAGTCTGGCATCCCAGCTCTGCTCATGAGCAGTCTGGATGTGACATTCAAGGTCATTGGACTGAATATGCGAGATAGCTCAACTTCCTTTTTCCACAGCTAGTGCCAAAGTATGATGTCACACATTAAAATAGAGGGCATCAAGTGTAGTCTGCGCCTCAGCCATGGCTCAGAACTGACTTTGAAGAACATTTTGCGTTAGAATTGAGACTGTAAAGCAAAGTCTGAGAAACATCTACTAAAAATTAAAAAAGTATAAAGTCAATAAAATCTCAGGTTGCTGTGGCAACAGATGCCTGGATTTTAAGCATGTAGTTTTCAAATGCTGCCACCAGAGGTCAGTAGTCTTGTGTTGTACAAGTGTTTCTACAGATTTCTCCTGCAGATGAGTACAGAAGTGTAGCAGTGGAAAAAGCTTAATTGAATTGGTCGAGTGTCATGCAAAAAAGCCAGTCCCGCTAACCGATCTGTCCTTGTTGGAATAAATGCACTGCTATTATCCTCCCAAAGTGTGATCCCACATGCCATATATACTGTATATGTGTCATTCACTACTTAACATACGAAAATAGCTCCTAGACACACAAAGGGCTTATGTTTCCTGTACTCTGCATAACATCTGGGAGAGGCATGCCAGTCTTGTATCGTCTCAGTTTACAGTATCCTCTGTGTAAGCGGAGACATGGTACAGATAATACTGACACGGTCACATTATGCAGTTACATCACATACAACATGTTAGGCAAGAAAAGATTCCAAAGTACACAGTGGGTAGTCGATAATACAAAAATACGGGTTCTGCAGAACTCACCTGTCCTCATTCTTGAAGACAAACTTCCTCAGTTTGAGGTCGCGGAGGACCAGTCCGTTGTCGTGGCAATGTGCCACAGCCGAGGCTATCTGATAGAACAGTCTGGCAGCTTCGTCCTCCCGCAACTTCTTGCAGGTGCGGACGAAAGAGTGCATGTCGCCATAGCTTCTCTCGAAGAACACATAGGCTCGAGTCTCCCCGAGCAAGATCTCCAGGATTTGGTTAATGTGCTGGTGCTGGCCCAGAGCAAAGTAGGCCGCCAGCGACTCCTGGTATCGGCCAATGTCAAAAACCTGCAAACATAAGACAGGAACACATTTATACTTACAGTCTACATAGCAAAGATTGATTTTAGTTTCATGTAGGGTGCTACAGTCTCATTAGGTGCTTGTTTTTGTAGTCTATTTACCACATTTGGGTGACGCAAAACTTGTGTTTACTGTTTTAGCAGAGGGAGTCAGGTTGCACAGAAGCAAAGTGAAAGCATCATGTTAGTGAATGGTATTGTTCTGCAGCCAGGGGGTTGCAGTGTCTCTTTTGTTTCCATGGTAACCCCCCATTGACTCTCAGCACCACCAGTTCAGGTGATACTGCTCCTCTGCTCACACTCAATAAAAAAAAAAACACCCCACAGCTCTCAAGATCTGAAGCTGTGACCTGAGCTTCCTGCTTGGAAGGAGAGATCAATCCTGGGAGTGGGGATTGATCGCTGCTGTATTGTAAGGGAGATGAGGTCAAAAGGCAGTTAGCTCACAGGCTGTGCCAAAGGCCATTAATTTGTTATTGCCATGACGAAACATTATCTCAAGTCAAAAGGTACGGGTTATTGGATACGTCATACCTTATGAGTCCAATGGTGCATGTAACCATCGTCTCAATTCACTTAAGCCTGCTTAAGCCGGAATGTACCTCAGGGACAACCCCACTGCCCTTATAATCACCCTCATAATCAGTAATACACCAAAGTCGATATGGGCTATAAATGTGTTGAGGGCAAGCTTTAAGGTTGTCCTTAACCTTGAGGGAAAGTGGTTTATTTCTCATTGTTAGAGGGTCAATGCCAGAGCCAGTCACAGCAGCTGGCTGAACTTGCAAAGTTCCCTAACACTGTGTGCTTTTCTCTCAGCACAGCTGTCCTCGAAAGATTACAATCCCACTAATATGTGTGCAATACGACTATGCTCAACCACCGAATATAAAACCATGGGTGAAACAATACGATTACAGCATTGCACTATAAAAGAGACGCCATGGGTAAGCGAGAATAGCACGGACAGAGGAGTGTGTGCGTGGTTACTCACTCCTTTGTCAACGTTACATCATGCAATCCAAACCACGCAGCTCGCCCCATTCACTTTTTCCATTAGGCTGCTCTGCCAGCTCTCTATTTACAATTCAAGCAATTATTAAAAAGTTCAGGGTGTGGACTTGCTGCAATAGCAAACCCATCGACACCAACTAAGACATTTCTCTGCAGAGTATGTTCATTACATGTTGGGGACTATTGAAAAAAAGACATTAATGTGACAATGAATGCAAAGGAGTAAAACCTGTAGGAACACTTGATTTTGTCCTGAAAATGCTGTTTTTCTGCATTGCAAACCCCCTGCTTGAACAAACGGAAACGGTACTGAAAATACTCTGGGGCTATTTTGGTAGGATACGTCAACCATGTTGATTACTAACCTTACATACGAGCTCTTCCCCGCTGTGCAGGTGGGCGGCTCTGAAAACGTGGTCTCCCTCCAGTGGCTCCAACAAAAGGTAGTCCCCGATGCGGGAGATACAGTGCGAGGAGTCCGGGGTCTCCGGCGGGCTGGGGGACCCGAGGTTAGGACTGAAACTCTGGTGCGACTCTGTAGTCCTTAAACAAGTCAAATCTTCGAAATCATGCGATTTATGCCGCGATCTCCCATAACGTGAAATGTTAATTGGATTTGACCTCTGTATGTTCATGAGGAATAAGTGTGATACCTCCACAGATCCGGGGGCCTTCCTCCTTGTTCTTCTCCTCTTCGAGTAGGGCACCACTTTGCTGTAAACTCAGTGCAATAACACAAATCGGGAGGTACTTCAGGAAATCTTGAATACAGTTTCAAATGTAATTGCTCCTTGTTGTTAGGGAACGTTGCAGACTAGCAACAGGAGAAGCCGATTGGTTTTCGCACAACAAAAAAGAGGTCAGTATATTTTTTTTGCAGAGTTCAACTGTTCATTTGTCCTCCTTTGTTTTCCATTCAAGAGATAAGGCCAGGCTAAAATGACAGAATATCTGCACCAAATCGACTGTAAACCCTTTGAACAAATCTGCTGCAATTTCATTAACGTTAGCAGTGCTAGCAGGCACGACGAGACTGCAACAAAGGCTACCAAAGTCAGCTTTTACAATGAATGAAGGGTGCTGAGTTACCCCGCAGCTTGTTTGCTAGCTTATCTTGCCGGTTAATGGTATGGCACGTTTCATAAAACGGAAACAATGTGTTGGATACAGCTTTGAGGCACGGGAAAAAATGCACAAGCAAAAATACAATGCAAGCTATATAGGTGCTGTATTTAGCCGAAATTTGACAGTCAAATGATGGCTAGCAGGTGCAGAGCTAACTGGTTAGCTTCCTTTGCTAACTAGTACCAAGTCAGTGCACGGCCTTGTTCCCCAGGATCATATCCATGCACGGCAATTGTCACCTATCACAGAAGGAGCAAACCCCATCCGGAAAAAAACTGTAGCTCTTTGTGTGCGGGAGTCGACGTCCCCTGTTTCTCTGGGTCTAGTCCTGTGGAAGAAAAGTGTCGTCTGTGCTGTATGTCTGCTGCTGTAAGCTTGCTGTGAGGAAGGAAGGGACGGCCGGCCGACTTTCCCAGGCCTATCCCTTGGTTCAGCAGGACATCCTCTCTCCCGTGCTGCCGCTGTGTTCTTACGTGGCTGGGAATCTAGTCCATTCAGTGCGGAGGGAGGCCAGCGGAGCAGCACACACTTCACACACTGCGCCTGTACAGAGTGAGAGAGAGTTGCCTGCCTGCCTGCCTGGCGGAGGGGGGGGGGGTCACACACACACACACATACACACACACGCACACGCACAGAGCACCGACCCGCCTCCTGACGTCACTCCATAATCGAAACCCCATTGGCTCACAAGCTGAGTTATAATATGCAGTGCAGTCATGTGAGAACCATAGTGTGGCTACACCCCCCAGAAATCTAAATGCATCGCGCGCTGGTAAATTGGATGGGGGGAGGGGGGGTGGGTGAGGGTATAGCTACTGTACGTGCTGTGTTACAAATGTGTTTCCTCCTGAAATGTCATTCAAGGGGGATCCCACTCTCACAATAGCACACAGTAATAATACTGATGTGCATTTGCATTCATACCATTCATTAAGGTGTCATGAGATGAAAATACTAAAGGTTAGCCGTACAAATAAATGCAACAAACAATGTTATAACTATGTAATCTATATGCTACTGATGTCATTCAGTGATGAGCTATCGCACTGCAAGGATATGTAAGCAAAATTGCAACAAATATACCAAAACTTGCATTATGATAGCATATAATGATGCATTAAAAATAAGCCTTCAATACACAGTAGGAGCATGAAATACATGATGGCAATAATAAAACAAAAGGACTAAGAATGTGATGACAATAATCAGTGCAGTCTTTGTCCTTGAGAAAAAAAGCTTATATGAATTTTTAAAATATGTAAAAGCAAGGTATGAGTTTTGCTGTGATATGGGATTGTATTCCATATTTTTGCCAAGTGTGGAATAAAAAGTCTTGGCCACAGAATTATATTAAAAGCTGGCACAGGGCTGTGTGCATTAGATACATCGCGTGTAACAAATCCCTGTCTTGCAGAATTGTGCCCACATAATATATTATAAAGAGAAGGTTGGATGAGGTTCATTATTCATTGTTCTTCCTAGATTACCAGGGGGTGTGACAGCAGGATTGTGCAATTCCATATACGAATCCAGGGCGGTGAGAGGAATGCTTGCAGCTGGACGCTGGACACTGACAGAAGTGTTCCATTTAACCTTTATTCCCCTGCTTGCAGGCAGTAGCAGCAAACACACACACTCACACAAACATGCACTATTCTAAATGTGTGTTTCTCGCTCTCTGCCTGAATAAACCCCCGCAACATGGAAATGCATTTTTCACACAGAGGCCTCTCATCTCAGAAACGGTGGTTTACAGTTTCAGAATGTGGCTTCACCCACAAGCTTTTATATATCGCAGTCCTCAAGATTGTGTGTATGTATGTGTCTGGGATCTGTGATATAATCTCTGCGAGCCACCCACTTTATTCTTTGTTACAACGCTGGAACATTCTTCCCCACAGAACAGCTTTTCTTTTGTCTCACCGAACAATATCAACATGCGGCTGAATGATGGACTTTTTGCAGGTTACATCTTGGATAAACGTGTTGATTTATTCATATTTTACTATAGCACATTTCTGCTTTATGACAGCACATCTAAATGTACCCATCGCTCTAACCCCAGATAGGGATTCCGTTAAGCCTGAACCACAGCTGTGCATGAATGAGAATAATAATCCCTAAAGATTCCCTTTGCCCCCATTCCGATACACTATGGTGACTCATGCACAGTAGAGAGCAGCACTCGAGAAAATCCATTGAGGCTCATCAGCTCTCCAGACACGCCTACATGCCGAGGAGTAACGGCAGGCAGCCCCACGGTGCCTTCCAGCGAGAGCTTCTGTATACCACTGAAGCAGGATGTTTCCTGGAAGCTACAGAGGTCAACGAGGACGGGTGAGCATCTCTAAATCCCTGGAGCGCGGTTACTCACCAACTTCCTAATATGGCTGTGTTGCCCTGCAGGGAATGATCTAAGGTCAGTTTCCCCTGTAATGTTGACGTTACAGGAAGGCCTAAGGATTCAAATCCACCAGAGGAATGTGTGGTTGCAATTCAATGACATTTCTTAGAATGCATCATGAAAACCCACTCAAATTAGAGCTATTTTCCTTGCGTTGTGCATTGAAATAGCCAATTTCACACTGTCACATAGCAACACAGCTAGCCAGCTCATGTTGACACCAGCAAGAATCAGAACTGTCACATCCACACCCAGCGGGTAACTTCCACTGAGAAAAGTTGATCATACGCGAGGAGTGAAGATGCAGAGGCATAGGAGGAATGAGATCATTCAGTGAGAGTGAGAGGAGACGATGTGAGGGAGAGCGAGGCAGGAGGACGGAGGATGGAGAAGCAGGCAGGAACGTGACGAGTGGTAAGAGTAAAAGTAGAAGAAGGAGGAAAGAGGGATGGAAGTGACACAAAGTGTTGCTCCTCCTCAACGTCAAATTTAGAAAACAGGGGAAATACTTTGTGAGAGCTAGGGAGCAGAACAACATGTTTAATACACAATTGTACAGAAATGTGTGGGAGTAAAGGGTACCAAGTCAAACCATGTAAGGCAAAGATTTTTTACAAACACAGAGTTATAATGAAAGTGCTCACATTAAGTTGAGGTATTCTTAGCATTGTTTTGACAGCAGACTCCTGCTCCCATGGATTCTTTAGGTTTATTTTTATATTTACTGTTGAGAATTAAACAAATTCCCATGATACTCGTTCCATCTATGACCCGTAATGAACGTGTTGGTGCAGGGCAACAGCTGCAATACCCCTCAATTTCAAGTTATTTTGGGTATGGGTACATGTGCCACATTCTGCCCTTCATGATGCTTTGGGACCTAAGGCCTGTTTTTAACCAAGAATGTGTGAGGGAAAGAGAGGAAGAGACAAAATGGAGGAGGGAGGGAGAGGACGACACTCAAATGTATTCCCATTCTTTCCGCATAATTAACTTGGTATAGTAGGCACAGACTTGCAATCATAAAAAATAAATGCAATTAAAACTGAAAGGCTGATTTTAGTATCAAGTTAAATCAGATCAACCCATTGAAATCACATGTTATGCAAAATGAATGCTGTCATTGGTAATTGTGAAAATGCATATTGTTATTTTTCTATGATTGTTGCATTTACCACTCAGGTGTTATCATCTCTTCAAAGAACAAAGACCAGGAAGACCCTTAAAACTCTGTTATGCACTACATAGAAGGTTTGTCCAACTATATTTTAATATTTAATCCCAGAGAAAGCTGAATGTCAATGGAAAGATTTTGTACAACTTCGCTGTGACCCCTTCACATTACTTTAGCCTTGTACACGTTTTGTCTACTTAGGGCAGTACAGGAAATGCGTGAGTGCAAATTAATGAACGCATTGCTTTAAAAACGTGTCCAGTCAGCACCAGGGTAAACCCAAGAGGATTATTTAGCAGATCAAATAAACACTGGCACTTCCCTTGACCTTTATTCCACCTCTTGGCTTCTGACCAACATGAGTGTACGACCTGCTACATTAGGCAAATCAAAAATGAAAATGTCCTGTGCTGACGAACGCAGGATGTACTGCCCGAAGAGGAGACATTTTTCTGATTACCCTTTTCCGAGGCAGCAGGAAGTGTGAGTGGCTGTGAGTGGCAGGTCACGCAGACGAGACCTCCTCCAAGCGGAGAGGAAGGATCTTGGCTTGAGGGGGAGACAGGATTGGCGTCACTGGCTTGGATCTCTCCTTCATGAAGTCAGACAGCTGAGTGAGGCCTTGTGGCAGCTCTGTCACTGGACAGGGTGACTCACTCGCTCATAAGTGGAGAGGTTAATAATAGTCATACATTAGAGCTGCAGAAGTGAAATCACACAGCTTTAGCAGCTTAAGCCTTCCAAATGGCTGAGCTGCAAAGCGGAAATGCTTTTCCCCGTCTTCTCATTTATCATAGGTGTAGATGACAATAATATACATTTCTTCAAAGCTCAATTGCTGACTGTTAGACATTACGACACTGTTGCAATAGGCAGTATGTATTTGGTTATGTGACAGATGAATCGAGCAGTCAAAACTGCCAGGAAAATTGAAGAATATCTCCGGAAATACAACATCTCCCGTGTTTTGATTTGTGTTTCCTCTCTGCTGTCAGACAGATGATATCGTCTTGCATATGCAGGAAATATTTCCTGGCGCTGTGTCACCTGCATGCAAGTGCCAAAGGCGTCACAGTAAAAAACAGGCAGATCTATTACAATTCCAATTCCAACACTTGACATTTTGGAGATGCAAGGAAAAGACGACAAGATTATGCTGCATTTGCTACTGGTGAGTCAGCCAACTCTCCACGATTTGCGGGAGAGTCCTACCATCGAAAGGAAAATGCATTCAGTAAACAATAGGAACGTGTATTGGCAATACATTTGGCAATAGTTTAAGTATCAAGATACAAGGGTTACAGTTAAATACATTGTGTTATAGATATATGTGATACTGTAGGCAAGGTGATAAACTGTCATAGTATAAAGAACACAACAACGTTATGCTACTTCCTGTCTTAGTTTACATTATTATGTTGGATTGGAAGAGACAAATGGTTGAAGAACTATCGGGTTAAAAAATATATAACAACTTTCTTCAGCAATATTTGGATTTACACTTTTAAATAAAAAAGGAAAGTGTTCACAAAACATTGTGCATTGATATTTTCTTACACCCCTAAACAATATTACAGCTTGTCGTAATGCTTCGTAAAACATTGTTTATGGTTTCAATAATATGTTATTGGATTATCTAGATGTTCATTTCACTAATTGTCAGGGTGTGTTTTTGGCAGTGTTCTGATTATTCAACCATGTACAGTAACACATCTTGTTAAACTAATAAACACCTGGTGGCTCAGTGGTGATCCCCATTGCATCAGAGAAGGTTGTTTTTGATGTCAAGTTAGATTCTTCTTCTGTGGTTTTCCTCATACTGTCCAAAGCCAGCAGCTCAGGTGTATTGCAGAGTTTACAAAGAAGTGAACTTGATGATAAGAGACTGAAACACACAGACTCATACAGTCAGAACAGATGTGCAGGCAGAGCCACAAAGCCCAGGGGCTTATCACAAGGCTTCTCTTAAGCAACGCTGGATTACCAGTCGGGTAAAAGTGGGCAC